AGGGCCTAATGTGACCCAGCTGTAACTGTTCTTTTACAAGTTGTTGTAAAATGAGTAATTTCTCCCTGGGTAATGGCCACTGTTCCATCCAGACTGGTTCCTTGGTGATCCAGTCGAGGCAGGGAGTCTGGTAATCAGCAGTGGCCATTAGGATTGGGGGTTCTTTTGTTTTAGGAACCTCATCTGATCATCTATTTTAAGGCATTCTCTTTCAGACCCACTGGCAAGAACTACATTGAGGTCTTCCAGCATATCTCATCCTATGAGATTTGTGGCTATATCTGCAATCAGGGGTCTCATCGTGCCAACCTCTCCATCAGGATCCTCCCATTTATAGAAGTTTTTATTGATGAATGCTTGGGAGGGGCCCCCTACTCCCATCAGTTGGGGTCCTGGTATTAACTCCCAGTGTGGGGGAACCTCAGAGCACCTTAAGATGGTTTTATCAGCCCCAGTGTCAAGGAGGCATTTGAAAGGTTGTCTATTTTTATTCTGTGGCTTCCCTCTTGTTCGCAGGGCTGAGGGCTGCACCTGATGGAGTTTAAAGTGGCAAACGATTGCCATCTCTGTCATTTTTAGATCTACAATGCTTTTTCCAGTGAAAGCCTTTTTACAGCGGGGACAGAGGGTTTTAGGGAGTCGAGTAGCAGCTGAGTTATTTTGGGGGCAATTTTTTATCCAGTGTCCAGTTTTTCCATAATTAAAGCATTTTGAGTTGGTGTGAGTTGTGGCTATAAGGGCTTGGGCAAGGGAGGAAGCCTAGTACGTGGCAGTCCCAATATCATGGGTGGCCACAATCCACTTATCATGCTGTTCATTCTTTAGTCTCTGGCATGCTTGTCTGTGCTCAGGGGTCATTCCTTCCCAGACAAGGTTGTTTAAAAGCATTGCTTTGGCTGCAGGATCTGTTATTTCTCTATCTAAACTGGCCTGCACTCTTAGTATAAAGTCTGGGAGGTTTTCAGTTGGTTTCTGCTTTAGGAAGTTTAATGAGGAGATCTCTCCAGGCCTTGTGGACAAGGGGGTTAGGTGGTCCCAGGCCTGTAGTGCACATAAGCAGACCTGTTCAAAAAAACAGCCAGTAGGAATCACAGCCTGCTGGATTCCTGTGGAAAAGTTGCCCTGGCCAAAAAGCTGGTCATAGTTCCAATCTATGAATCCAGGTGGTGGATCTTGTCCTTGCTGTGGTCTCAACTGTTGATTATGTGTGTCATTTTTTTTAACCTGCATCAGGCATTCATCTCTAAATAAAGCCTCCCATTGTACAAATAATGGACTGGGGAGGGTGGATCTACAGATATCTCTCCTGTCCTGGGGGGTTAGGAGGTTAGTATTGAAGGTTTGTAGTATAGATTTTGTCCATGGAGCATGGATCCCATCCTCATGGACAGCTTTGTGTAGTTCTTTTAAGTCTGCTTCCGGGAGGGGTACCAAGCCAGTGGACATTGCCTTGTTATTTGTAGGTTAACGAGGAAAGCTTCTACCGATGGGGTTTTGGGTCCTGAGACCAAAACCCTGGAGATTGTGGGGGCAATAACTCCCATTATCCCTGAGATTACAGAGCTGTTCAATGGCTGTGGAGTGTGGTGCCCACAGCAGTGAAGGGGGAGGCGGATTTATCTGGGAATCTTGGGGAGATTTTGAAGTCTGGGTTTTAACATCCGGGTTTGTTAAATCAGTCCATGAGGATTCGTAGGGGGGAAGAGGAGGGTAAAGGTTATTTTTGTTGATGGGTGGTTTTTGTCTGACTTGGTCAATTTTTATTTTTTGGGCTGTTGAATCTGTTACCAGGCAATCTTTAGGATTTTTTTTTTTTTATTTTTTAGGGCTGTCGAATCTTCTGTTGGGCAATATTTAGGGTCTTTTTCATTATTTTTTAGGGCTGTCGAATCCTCTGTTGGGCAATCTTTAGGGTCTTTTTCATTGTTTGAACCCTCCCCTTTATTATTCCCTGGTGCTAGTAAATTCTCCTCAGCCTTAGGTGGGTTTCTTAAGCATTGTCAAATGGCTGCTATTATGGGGAGGAAGGAAAGGGGCAAATGGTGCCTTTCCTGGATTTCCTTTTTACGAGCCAGATAGGCAACGTTGGTCCAGACCTCTGGGTCAGAAATGTCTGCCGACAGGATCCAGAGTGCGAATTGAAATACTTCATTCAAAAATTTTGAGCCTTACTTTTGGGAAATCTTAAGTCCTCTTGATTTAAGTAGGACTCTAAGGAAGCGAATTTGGAGGTTTTTTTGGCATGATGGTGAATTCCCCATTATAGAAAAGAAAGGAAGTGTTGTCAGTGGCGTTCAACGTTCCCGAGGCAGCCTGCCACGGGGGATTGAGATGCTTTGACAAATACAAGCCTAGCCGCAGATTTAAGGGACTGGCAACCGTCCTTGTGACTTTTAACTGGTTGCTGCGTTACCAGATTTTTATGATAGTTGTAAAGGTTACTGCCTACACCCAGTGGAGGGATGGAGGACTACAACCTAGCAGCAGGGTTCCCCAACATCAGGTTTCTAGCACTGAGTGTGCATGCTTTTCTCTTGGCAGGTTATCAGCATTGTTGCTTCGGATTTGAAGGAAAACTACTTGATTCTTTGTAGTATTTTATTTGTGAAAAAAAATAATAGGGTAACTGTGACTTCATCTTACTACTATTTCTTTTATGTTATTTTAGCCTTACGAAGGATGAATCTAAAAGGCCAAAGTATAAAGAACTTCTGGTGAGTATGAGGCCCATTAAGCAAGTTGTGGGACCTCTGGAAAGTGGCTTGATCTTGCTGAGTGTTTTATAAAGCATTGCTATTTAGAAAAAGAAACTGGTAGTTACAATTTTCCTACTAATTTACTAGCTCAATTCTCAGGAGGAATTTTGTTCTTAGCATGTTATATAATTCTCCCAAAGCATTTCTGTTTTCACTTACAGAATCATTTCCTATTGCATAGTCTAAGTCTATGTAACCCCCCTGTAAGAGAGTTAATGAAAAAGATTTTCATGGCAGTCATTCTCCCTCTATTAATATACATTATATTGCCAATTCACATTTCTCTGTCACTTCATAGAACTTAAGCAGTCTGTTCTGTGTGGCTTTGCTCTGCACAGAGAAGAAAGTTCTGTGATCTAACGATGTGGGAATATCTTAAGACTCAGTTGTTTATTACATTAGGTTCTAGCTGTCCAAGATTATAAACTTAAACTATGTCAGCCCAGTGATGATTGCAAAGATACCCAGATGCTGTAACTAGAAAAACTATGGAGAAAATTGTTGGCAGGAATAGAGAAGAAGACGACAGGTTGGTGAAATGGGTCCTGGGCTATGGCTCCAGGGAGCTCAGGGCAGAAGCCCGTCTCTGTCGGGCTTCTTTTCAAATAGAAAATGGTAACCTTTTTTGTAAGATCCTTGTGCTAGCTGTGGGGTTTATGCTGGTGTCCTAAGTAGACAGTCCTGGGAGTCCTATAGTCTGTCACAGCTCTCAAATGGTGTGGGAGAGGTTCCAGCTGTGTTTTGTGTTGAGGGACAAACAACTCTTTCTGTCTCCACAAATACCACCCCCCCCCCCATACAGGTAAGTTCCCAGACCTTACTACCAGGGTAGCACTACCAGATTGTGACACAGCACCTCATACCCAGGATGCCCACAGTAACTAATGTGCATAAGATAAGTAAGGGCTGCATTTGCTTTGCCAATGATATACTACAGCTGTATGTGGTTAGGAGCCTGTAGTTCTGTGCTGTATGGAAATTGAGAAAGCTTGAGTTTGAGTACTGATAAAAGCCTTTTGATACTTGTCTTTTTCTTTTTTCAATTTTCTTGCAGAAACATCCCTTTATTTTGATGTATGAAGAACGTACCGTCGAGGTAGCATGCTATGTTTGTAAAATCCTGGATCAAATGCCAGCTACTCCCAGCTCTCCTATGTATGTCGACTGATATCGCTGCTACATTAGACTCTAGAAAAAAGGGCTGAGAGGAAGCAAGACGTAATGATTTCATCCTGTATCACAGTGTTTTTACTGCTCGCCCAGACACCATGTGCAATAAGATTGGTGTTCGTTTCCATCATGTCTGTATACTTCTGTCACCTAGAACGTGCATCCCTGTAATACCTGATTGATCACAGTGTTAGTGCTGGTCAGAGAGACCTCATCCTGCTCTTTTGTGATGAACATATTCATGACATGTGGAAGTCAGTACGATCAAGTTGTCGACCGTGATTAGATCACATCTTAAATTCATTTCTAGACTCAAAACCTGGAAACACAGCTACTGGAATGGTATTTTGTCAGACTTCCAAATCTTGGAAGGACGTGGTGATGGATGTAATATGACCCGGGCTTGAGTGAGAAGAGCTTGCACAGCCAGCGAGACACATTGCCTTCTGGAGCTGGGAGACAAAGGAGGAATTTACTTTCTTCACCAAGTGCAATAGATTTACTGATCTGATATTCTGTTGCTTTACAGTCATAGTCGATGTTTGGGGATCAGTGTGCTCAGCCAAACTTCCTGTTTGAAATATCATGTCAAATTAGATGAATTTATCTTTACTGAAAACCATGTTGCATTCAAAGAGGTGAACATTAAAATATTGGGACAGGACAGGATGTGTTCTTTTATCCTTTATCAGTCCTGCTCTTCAGTGGGAAGATTCAGGAGTCTGCCACTTGCCATAGAAGGTGCTGCCAACTCAATGTTCCACCTGCCACCCACCACCGGGACTGACAGAAGAAAACAGTACAGAGGGCAAAGTTTACAGATGTTTTTAATTCTAGTCTCTTATCCGGAACAACTTGTAGCAGCTCTAGATTTCCCCTTGGCCCTGAGCCTGATACTTCAGCCATTGTAGCTCACTAACAGGGAGAAGTAGCTAGCAGCAATGTGCCTTGACTGATAAAGATTTCTTGTAGGCAGCAAAAGACCAAATCTCAGTTGTTTGCTTCTTGCCATCACCGGCCTAAGTCTTCAATTCCTAACTCTTTCCCTTTCCCCAGGGTCTGTTGCCACCATGTGACTTTCACTCAATCCAATATTTTGCCTTTTTTCAGTCTCAGAAACCCTTATCATTACCAGGGATGTTCCTTACCATGGGTTCTTAGCCCCAAATCTCTCACATGCTCTAATGTTTCAGAAGTTGAGAAAAGTGGGTGCAGTTGATGTGGTAGGTGATGAAGAGGCAGTCTTTTTTAGAGGCACAGGGAAGCAGAGTGAGGGCCTGGAGTGGCAGGCTCCTACATTAGTGCATCACCTGTGGAACCCCAGCAGTTCATCTTCCTTTAACTTGGAATCTCTGCCCCACCAAAAAGGCAAAATATAAAAACTCAGAATGGTTTTAAGAAGTCCTTAACCCCGTGTGCTCTTTGTCTTCATTTACCTGCTATCCAGGCTCTCAGTAGATCTGGCTTCAGCTTCCCGTACTGAGCATTAGGCTTGGCATAGTGGTTAAGGAGCACTGGGATATAGTCCAAGATGCAGGTGACGGATGCCCTTACAGAATCAGATCCTGGTAGGTGTTGCCGTGTCCCCTCCAGGGTGACAGTCGTAACTACTATAAAACAATAAAGGGAGAATGGTGCTGTTTAAAGTTACATCCCTGTTAATTGCAGAATTCAAAACTAATGTTTCTCTTGGTCCACTGGTCTCATTTCCCTGTTCTATCCCTGACGCCCTGCCCTAGCCCTTAGATGTCCCAGTGTTCTCTGAGGAAGCTTTGCTGTATGTCTTCCCTCAGCCACGCCAAGCCATCATCCTCCATTGCTCCCAGGACTCAGAGAATTTGTTTCTCTGCTTTCAGCTTCCTGTCTGGCTCAGCATAGGCTCACTTTGCCATTATGCAAATGGAGATCAAAGCAATTCTGACTGTCCATGAGCTATCTGACGTTCTGTTGTGTGGATGACCACATAAAAAGGCAATTTAGTGTATTAATCATAGGTTATTATAAACTATAAATTTAAGGGCAAGGAGTTTATTACAATGTATCTTTACTAAAACAAAAGGGGGTATAGTGTTCACAAACTGTGAAAATAGTGTAAGAACTGTACATTGTGAGCTCTGGTTATTTTTCTCTTGTACCATATAAAAGTGTATAAAATTATCAAAAAGCTAATGTGCAGGGATATTGCCTTATTTGTCTGTAAAAATGGAGCTCAGTAACATAACTGCTTCTTGGAGCTTTGGAATATTTTATCCTGTATTCTTGTTTGAATTCCTCCTCTATTTAAGATATATACATGGAATCGAAGTGTTTATGTAATAGTTCTATCCTTTTGCCTGCAGGTCAGTTGTAATAAATCTAGGATGTGATGATGACTTTGTAATTTGTTTTTCTGGAGTCACACACTGAGCGGGAGAGTGAAGTAAATTACATTAAATTACATGTGCTTTTCATATGGAGGGAAATTCCTTCTTCCAGGAGTGTTATGGCTTCTTTTTCCTCCTTTGATTGGATACTCTTCTGCTTGTTCTCTAACCACAGATGCACCCATGCAGTACAGCTTTGCTTTCTGTCTGAGCAGCTGTGATGTAGTCTTTCCAGGCTTTGTTGCTCCATTGGATGTCCTTTCACGCCTTTGCTGCTTAACGCTGAAGGTACAGTTCCACCCGTAACCCTGGTCTTGTGAGCCAGGCTTTCTGCTCCTAGTGTTGACTGCCAGGTGTGATCTTAGTTGTGGTCCCTCACTGCTATGAGACAAAGAATAGGAGATGGAGAGAGGAGGGGAAGAGGACTTGGGCGTAAGAGACCTATGAGGCTTACACCTGGGAGGTTTATGGAGGGGGTGCTGGGGGGAGGGCAATGAAGGTGAACAGAAAGCCACAGGAGCCTGGAAATGGAGTGAGGCGGCCCCAGCGCTGAGTTTTGGATGCTTGCTTGGTCATATGGTAGTAACTCAATTCCATGGCCTCCTGTGTCCCATCTGGAACTGACAACCAAGTGTGCTAAGTGCCTGTCATTCTCCAGAGGAGGATTGATACCCCAGGACGTTTGCTTGTCCCACTTGAACTGAAAGTGGCGGGAGGGGCACACCACTCCAGGTTTCATGGGAGTCTACAATGTATTTGTTCATCTTATTTGATGCTGGGTGCAGCCCCCCACCAAAATTGGGGTAGTTTCCCTTTTCTAGATAGGAGAACAAAAACGGTTTAGAGAAAGTTCTAGCACAGATAATAGTAGGGAACAGATGTGAAACTGAAAAACGGAAATCCAAGACTGTAAAACAAGTTAATTTTAAAACACTACCTGAACCAGTGAGATGACTCAACAGGTAAGGGCACTTGCCACCAAACCTGATGACCTGAGTTTGGTTCCCAGGTCCCACATAGGAGGAGAAAACCAACTTCTGCATGTTGTCCTCCGACTGCTGTGGTACACATACCCTCCCCCCAACACTTAAAGTACTAAAAATAAAACCCCACTAATTAAAAATTTGTGTATGAATATTTGCTTCATGTATGTAAGTGCATCACATGCTTGCAAGCCCTATAGAGGCCAGAAAAAAGTGTTGGATCCCCTGGAACTGGGGTTAAGGACAGTTGTTAGCCATCATATGGGTGCTGAGAACTGAACCTGGGTTCAGTGCAAGAGCAGCCAGTGCTGTTAACCACTGAGCCATCTCTCCAGTGCCCTAAACACTACTTCTAAGTGTGCAGTTGAGTAGTTGGGAATATTGTGTAAACCTCGACAGGACCTTTTATTTTGGAAATGAGTTGAAGGTAGAGGTTCTGTGGGGGTGGCCTTAGTACATGCAAAGGCAAGAATGTGGTTGCCTTAAAACTCCAGGTCCTAATTTAAGACTCAGCACTTGTGAATTCAGTGTAACAGATTTCCTTTCATTAGCATATGTGCCAATTATAGAAAAGGAAGTTATGTTTGTCTTTTGAGCTGGATTGTTGATAACTATCAAATGGTTTCAGCTACAAGGTAGAGAAAAGACACATTGGTCCTGAAGGTGACTTTGGAACACTGCCTTCCCAGCCTGTCCTGAAGTCCCAGCAGTGGTTTATCTCTAGTTCTTGGTCTTTTGATATATTGGCTCAGACAAGTTAACCATTTATTTAGTGCTGTTACTTGTATGTAGACCTGAGGTAGCAGTTCCTTCTTCCCTATCTATGTTAGAGTTGTGTTCATGGTACATCTTTAAGAAGTCCTGTCTCAGTTCTTCCACAGGTATGCAGAAATTTCAAATGCAGATACATCAATTACACAGCTCTGACAATTGACAATTTAAAACAGGACCAGGCCTGGGCAGATGGCTTAGTCACTAAAGCCTTTGCTTACCAAGCACAAGGACCTGAGTTCGGATCCCTAGCAAAGCCAGACACAGTAGCACACCTGTAGGGAGTGCTAGGGAGAGGAGGAGATAGGAGAATGCCTGGGGTTTACTGGCCAGCCATTCCAGCTCAATCGGTGAGCTCCAGGTTCAATGGGAGACTATCAAAAAGTAAAGTTGAGAATGATGGGGGAGGACACCACCATCAGCTCTGGCCACATGTGCATGCACCTACACACATGAACACATAGTGCATGTATACCACACACAAAAATAGGACTACTTAATATATACAAAGTATAAACATTTTCACATACCTGAAGAAAATTAGCATTAATGATTCTTAAGATTTGAGAGGAGAGGTTGAAGAGATGGCTCAGTGGTTAAGAGTATGCACTGATCTTGCAGAGGACCCGAGTTCAGTTCCCACCACTCAGTGTCAGGCAGCTTACAGCCACGTCTAACTCCAGCTCCAGGGGGATGCATTACCCTGGCCTCCGAAGGCACGACATTCACAAGTACGTACACACAGAGAATAAAAATAAATTGAGCCAGGGGTGGTGGTGCACTCTTTAATCCCAGCACTCGGGAGGCAGAGGCAGGTGGCTTGATCTCTGTGAGTTATAGGCCAGCCTGGTCTACATAGTTCCAGACCACCTGGGGCTCCAGGGAGACCCTATCTCAAAAGACTGAAAAAAGGAAAAATAAATTGAAATGATCTGGGTGTGGTGGTGCCATCATTCGGGAGGCTGAGACAGGAAGATCTTAAATTCAAAGCCAGCCTGGGCTGCATACCAAGGTATTCTCCAGAACACAAAATTTGAAATGAGCATCTCTACTTATTTGTGTCCATTGTATAATGTGCTACATTTATTTTTGCATTAATTTGCACATTAAATCAACTTCAGATTCATACTCTTTCAGTAATATGTAGAGATGTTACTTTGATAGGTTTTTTTTTAACTTTTACTTTATTGAGAATTTCATACATGCATATAAGGTGTTTTGATCAAATCCATGCCCATTCCCTCTCCTCCAACATTCCCCTCTCTGAAAAGGTAACCCTAAAATCTTTTAAGGATTAAATACAAGCTCCCAAATACTTTTGACATTTTTGGCCTTGGAACAGAGTATGTTGCTAACAGGCCCAAGGACATTTTGACTTTTAGCCAAGAAACTGGCTACATTTCTTTGGGGTCTTTTTACCCTAACTGCCTAGCCAATTCCTACCTCCTGTTCTTATCGCGCCGTTCTCTGAAGGGGTTACCCAAATTGCCGACAGGGAATCGGGACACCTACCACTCTGGCTTCTTCAATGCTGAACAGGGATGAAGGGTGAGGCAATTGGAGTACCCCTTCAGTGGGTCTACCTAAAAGACTTCCAAATTGCATAACTTTTGTCTCTAAGGGGAGAAGTC